ATAAAACACAATTGTGAATATCACAATCGAGTACATGCACGTTTATGTTTTTCATATGTAATTTGTGCCTATATAGATTTTTTTTAAAATTAATCTGAGCATACAAAAATACTTGTTTAATTTTAATGCTTTGACCTTGATAATACAGATAGGTTTTGGGTAATATATCTGTTTGAAAGATGGTGAAGAGAGAAAACATGCACGCGCGCTCATGCTTTCCGTGCTTTACTTCTGTATTTAGGATTAAGTTTTAATAAAATGCGATCTGCGCATGTTTAGTACTTAGCGGAGAGGTCTTAGTCTTAGGCCTAGTCTTACGCCGCTTTCTGAAACGCGATTTAGGCCCGTCTAAATTTTGGCGTAACTTACTTAGTCGGACTAACTTAGGCCCAAATCTACGACTTTTTGAGAAACGAGCCCCTGGGGTAGGACAGGACCAAAACGGGGTCAAAGTTTACCATAGAAATATATAGGAAATATCTTTTAATTTTTAAATAATGTTCCCAAGAACAGCTGAGCCATTATTTGTCATATTAATACAGAAGTATCCTCAGGTAGTATTAATTCAAGTTTGTTCAATCATAACCCTAGGGGGTAGGGCGGGGCCAAAACAATAGGTCAAAGTTTAGGCATAGGAATATATAGGTGTAATTGTTAAGGTCAGAAGATACGTTCCTCAAATGTCTGTTATGTATACATTATCTTCGTAATGTATGAAAAATATTCAAAATTTTAATTACCTTCTGATTTCTAAACCAGTTTCTAATCGTCTTTAAAAAATCCAAACACTGAAAAATTTGATATAGACAAATTAATTTTATTTCCAACGGGATTATACATGTATAAGAAAAACTACCCTCAGGTATCTTGCACAAATGCCTGGTAAGGTACCTAAATTTTTTGTGAGTAAACATGTTAAAGTAGCAATACTTCAATGACAAAATTTTGGGAAAAAAATATATTTATATTATTGAGGAACGTATCGTCTGCTTAAATGGGCATTTGAGTAAAACGCATTGAAGATTTCAACTAATGACCTGACAACCCTTGGCATGAGTTCAAAATAGAAAAACCGCATTAATTTTCACTGAATATAGTTAAAATTTAAACATAAGCGCAGAAAATGTATAGCTTGCCATATTTTTTAAGATGTAAGACATAAATAAACTAAAGCATATGTCAGCATTAAAAGTCGTACATTTTTAGTAAATAGTATTTAAATAGTATTTAAAAAATAATGTAAAAAACTGATTCAAATACATAATTGTGATGCTAAAAGTTCCAAAAAATTTGCTTCTTTATAAATATGTTTGAATTGTGAATATTAAGGAAACCATTTTACATTAGAAGTACAATAAGAAAATGACTGAATATAGATACATGAGAAGGAGTTATTGCCCTTACCTTAGCAACATATTTTTAAAGATTGAATAATTGATTAAATAAAGAAAATATTTTTTTTTTTAAATTCTTTAACTAAAAAATATTTGTTATTACACCCATTGAAAAGCATTCTTCCAAAAGATATCTTTCTATGGGGTAAGAATTTAAATTGATGACAGTTTTTGCAAAAACCTATGACATCACACTGAGGAGAGTGGAAATTCATCCCTAATAGCAACAGATTCAATGAAATTGAATACATATAACAGATGTGTAGGTGTTGAATACTCAAGGAATACTTCTTTCAGTTGAGGCCTAATTTCATGTGTAATTTCATAATATTCATTCTTTCCTGTCCTTTGATTTTAGAATTTTTAGTAAAAGTGCATGGCTTATATTAACTCTTGCTGAATCAACAGAAATATGTACTCTAATTGAAAGCTTATCATATGAAATAATCTGCATAAGCTGATAGCCTTTTCTGTGAGTAGTAAGCTTTTCTTGCAAATATTGTAAAAATAAAACAAAAGTTTTTATTTAGATGTCATAACCACCTTTAACCAAGTTCATAATCTGGTAGTCACTTTTTATGTTTATAAGAAGTGTACATGCAAATTTTGGTGTTGGTTAAAGGTGGTTATGACATCTGTAGGAGTTGTCTAACACACCCACTCTCTTGAGTTTTCCCATTACCCTAATACATGCACTAATACGGACCAATAGTACATTACTTTGTGACCGTATATCACAATAAATACTATAGTATCATTCACCAATCAATTTTTATCATTAAATTGGAACATTAACCTATGTTTCATGCAGTTTTTAAAGGGGAAAAAATTACTTAAAAATGAAGTCATCGTAGGCCGAAAAACAGCCTTATAGAGAATGATCCTCTGCTCAAATGAAGGGCCATGCTCTCTTTCAAATGGAGATAATTAAGAATTAGTGAAAATTTTGTGACATATTTTAAAAATCTTTATCTCAAGAACCACTGCGCCAGAATAGTCGAAACCTATCTGAAATCTTTTTTATAAAGTGTAGATTAAATTTTGTTCAAATCATTACCTCCCCCCCCCGGGGGGGGGCTCAAATGGGTGATCGAAATTTTACATAGGAATATACAGGAAAAACTGCTGGGTCAGAAGAGTTGATATTTATGTGAAAGCTTCATTATATAGTTACATTCAAGTTTGTTCAAATCATGACCCCCGGGAGTAGGATGGGGCCACAATGGGCAATCAATGTTTTACATAGGAATATATACAGAAAATCTTTAAAAATCTAGATCTTCTTTCAAGAACAGCAAGCCCATGATTAGTCATATTTATACAAAAGCATCATCAGGCAGTGTAGATTCAAGTACATGTATGTTCAAATCATGACCCAAAAATCATATGGGAAAAATTCATTAAAAATCTCAAGAACAGAAAGGCAATGATTAGTAATATTTATATGGAAGCATTGTCAAGTATTGTCATGCGATCTGTACCAATGGACGACAATATGTGCAGTGAGGGTAGGTACACATTAATTGTCGCCGGCGACAATATGAACAGGACGACAATATGTAACGTTACAATCTTGCTGCATGAATAGCATACGAGACACGTCAGTGTAATAAATTTACGAACCAGGTACATTAATTCACAAAGTTACAAAAAAATCTCTAAGCAGCAGTATCTGTGGGGCGACAATATGTGCAGTGAGGGTAGGCACATTATGTCGCCTGCGACAAACTTTTCAGCCAGCGACAATATGTACCGATGAACGACTTTACGTGCAGTGAGGGTAGGCGACGATATATAGAAGGGCAATATGTACCGCGATAAAGTAATTAGGAAATAGTGAACATTTTTGGAGCATTTAAAATTTTTATTCTCTTTATCCACTGAGCCCGAGAAGATGAAACTTAATAGATTCTATTTTGTTGGTTTGAACATATTTTATTGTCTATAAACTTTACAAATGGGATTGGGCAAAAGTTCTTAAAACTTAATACGCCCTCTCCCTACATATGAATTATACCAAACATATTTACATATATGGGTTTCAGCTTAAAATGAATAAAACACAGAAAAGCATAATAATCAGAGAAACATTATACAATACACAAGCTGTATAGAATTCGCAAGAAGTAATTATTGCATCAACCAAAACGACCTGACTTTTTAATAAAGAAGATGGGTGAACAAGGCGGGCGAAGTGCCTAAAGTGCGACAAACATGAATTGAAAAATAAAATCTCAATTATATAAAAATTTTCTTTGATATTTTATCTAACATTAAAGTATATTTTATGCTAAATCTCTACAATTTACAAAAATCTCACAAAGACTGAAATTATTTGCCTACGAAATAGCTTACACACACTAAAGAGGACAAAAAGGGTCATTTTCTCACACTTTAACAAAATTTTTCGATATGAGTGGGTCTTCGCTCCATTTTTTTGAAAGTTGATCCTAAAAGTTTGCATAAAAATATACATTTATTGGTTTACAAAAACATGGAGCAAAGACCCACTATACCTTAAAAGTACACTTTTATGACAAAGCATTCACATCTTTCCGAGAAATACTTGAAGTCCATTAAGTCAAGGGTCATATCACAAACATGATTTAAATGCCGCTATTCGTCAGGAGATGCGTGGCGTAGTGGTTAGCGTGTTGGTCTCAATACAATATGAAACTCCGGATTTTTATTTTTAGGGGGTTCGAATCCCACGAATACCATTTTATTTTTTAAATAAAAGAATAATTTTTTCCGAGATCTTTTTTCTCAGAAAAGTTTTGTTGATCATAATTTAATAAATTTCAATAATGAGAACTTTATTTTAAAGACTTAATTCATAAATTGAATATGATTTTATTAATATCGGAATCTATAGGCATTCTGCACGCCTTGTTCACCCATCTTCTTTTGTACAATGGAAAATAAGTATTCATTTTCAACATTATTTAACGTTTCATCTCCCCAGAGTAATGTATGAGTATCAACAGTATGTAATTTTCCCATTTGCAGAAATCTATCGAAAATTCTTTTCTAGCTTCTGTATATTTTTTGCACGAGAAGAAATATGAGTGTCCTCCACTCTTCCACAGGAACATAAGGGACTATTTTGTTAATATCATGGCACCCGGGTAAGTGGAGCCACAAACAGGGGACCAAAATTTTACAGTGGAATACGCTTACAGGAAAATTTTAAAATCTTAAGGATGAATTTTACTCAGAGGACAACAAAAATCCTCTGATATGAATGAAAACCACCTATTGTATATTGTATGCCTATGATTGTATGAATTACAAAATCTCTTTAAAAAAGCCCTTATTCTACTGGTGTTAAAATTATATGGGGTCAATGATCAAATTCTTAAGATATGTTGCCTGGAATGTTTGGGGGTTTTTTTTGTTTAGGTTTGGTTTTTTTTTTTTTTTTTGTTTGTTTGGTTTTTTTTTTTTGTTTGAATTTTTCATATCCTTCATTAATTGCGACATAGCATTCACTTATTTACTTATTTTAAAATAATACATGAGCTTTAACACACATATTTGCAAAATGATGTTGAAAAACACATCGAATCTTAACTTTCAGAATAAATTTTCAAGTTCATTCAAATCATGACTCCAGAGTTTGGATTCGGCCACAGTAAGGGATAAAAATTTTACATGGGAATATACAGGAAAATTTTTTCTCGGATATATTGTTCTCAAAAACAGCGAAACTAGGATTCTAAAGTCATAATATATGCAAGCATCTGATCATAAGGCAGTTAGTTTGTTCAGCTCATGGTTTCGAAGCTAGGGTAAGGCAACAAAAACTGAATCCGGGTTTTACGTACATGGAGATGTATAAAAAATTAAATCGTTTGATTTTCCACGTAATCCAAAGTTTTCGGGTTAAGTTTTTTTTTGGTTTAAATAATGGACCATGGGAATAGGATGGGGCCCTTATCACTAATCAACATTTTTAATGATGCTGGTATACAGCGAAAATATCTTTAACAATAATCCCCATAAAAGCAAGGTTATGTTGGTCATATAGAAACCGAAGCATCCCCTTGATGTGTTGATTCAAGTTCGATTAATATATAACCCCTTTTGAGCTAAGCTGGTGCCACGATATGGGGTTTAAAATTTTTCATGGAAATAAAGAGGGGAGAGGTTAATTCATATGAAGAGTAGCAGGCTCAAGGTGGCTCAGGTGAGTATAGTGGCCTATGGACATCTTGTCATTTTTTAGATGTACATCTGTTCACGTTTAGTTTTGCTGTTCGCAACTCACAGGGCTGCATTCCTGGATGGAAGGGGGTTTAAGGGATAAATTTTCACAATTTTTCTGACTCTGTTCTGTTTTTAGAGGCAATGATTATAAAAACTTGAAACTACTAGTATTATATTTCTCTCTCTCTCTCTCTCTCTCTCTCTCTGTTATTATTTCTGTACATTGGTGAGAATGTTTGATCCACTTACGGATTTTATTCGAAGAGGACCACTAAAGGGAACCACAGAAAACAACTGAATTTTCTATCAATTTTTTTGTTGAATTACTGCAGTACATAGAGTTTGACAATCTAACTAATTTTCAACAGAGTCCAGTAATTAACATAAAATGTTTTTACACAGTTGTTCAAAGTATAAATGAAAACGCAGCTGTAGAAATATACTTCTGAGCAACACCAGCGCCCATTTTCCCAGACTGATTAGGTACTCGGTAAATATGTTTTCCTATGCCTGGAGTACATAGTCATGGGTTTAAATTTAAATGTTGTGTTATTCTGAGGACAAGATTATTCAAAGGACAGTATTGTGTTAAAAGCAGGGTGTTTTATAGCTATTGAGGCAATACACTACGGATCACTGGGTTTCAAACTAAAAAAGAAAAATAAACACGGGAGAACAGAGCAAGAAAAAGTAAGTAAATCTTAAGGTTATTATGATTTTATGCTTATCTTAGGAAAAATTTACGGTTGCTTTTATAAAAAAAATAATGTTTTTATTTTTCTTATACAAGATGTAAACTATAAATAACTTGGAGTATTTAGTCTTTACTACCTCCCTAGTTTAATTGTTATACAATTAAACAATCTTAGGTTTCATATAAAAATACATTGTTGGATTAGTTTGGTATTTTATGTACAGTTCAGTGGATTTCGAAACATTTTACCGTACAAAAGAATATTTTAAAAGGAAGTTCGATTGAAATAGACATTTAAATGTTTCAAACAAAAGTCTGCTGAAAAAAAGCTTACTAGTTACATGGCGAACCTGTTAATCATAAAATATGGAAGAAAACAAGCATACCAATGAACAAGTAAGTATTTTTTGTTAATTTCTCTCAATCATTTTATGAAAGGCAAAATCATATCTATACGAGTGTTCAGAGTCAAGTGACAAATGAAAGTTTTGTGTTGACTTCAAATCATGAAATGAATTTATACTTGTAAAATCACTAACTTTTGCTGGTGATTAATGTTTGTAATTAGAAGGGACTCATGAATTTATGTCCTCCAGGAAGTATTAAAAATCTGTAGGACAGTACCATGTTTTTTTTTCCAACCATGAAATCAAATTCCCCAAAATCCCCTAAAGCCACAAAAATTTCACCCCATGAAATTCAGGGATTTTAGAGTACTCCAGGAGGTTCATACTGCAATATGACAATTTTGAAATATGTCCTAGTCTCAGTTGTAATCGTAAAGTAAAATGTCACCTGTCATTTTTAGCTCACCTCAACGAAGCTGGGAGAACTTGTGGAACAGTCGTCGTGTGTCCCAGGTTAAAGTTTTTGGAGCATTTCTTTTAAATACTTAAATATTTCTATGCCATATATTATTCAGAGTTGCATGGGTGATACTTCTAGTATATATTCATTGTACAAGTCAGGTTTCATATGAAATATGAAGATAACGAACAGTATTCAATCTCGAAAGTTCAATGAAACGATACAAATTTGGAGCAGAGCAAACACGGACCTCAAAATTTAGAGGTGGGATCAGGAGCCATGGAGGAGTGAGCATCCCCTGCCGACCGGTCACACCCGCCATGTGCTCCTTGTCATGATCGAAAAAAAATCGGAAAAATCCGTAGACAGTTCAGAGAATAAAAATGGTCTAACAATTGGAATGAAGAACATCATTCAGCATTTGACTCAATGATAGGTGACAAGGTCATTGTATCGACCATAAAACTTGCGAAATGAAGACTTCAAACGAGATTGTTGATATCCTGCATTTTTAGCCAGTATTTTCTAGATAAATGACCAGGTTAATGTTTTTGGAGCAGTTAAAAGTTTTTGGAAGAGGTTAAATGTTTTGGAGCAGGTCTCATTCCCATGTATATAAGCTCCAATTGAAGCAAACTTGCTTGGATGATGCATCTAGGGATGCACACTATAAGAAACTTACTTCGGATGCTGTAACTGACGTACATATCCATGTGATTTTTTAGAGCAGGTCCAAGTAATTATAAGCCATATGGTAACTCAACTTGCAAGGATGATTTATCACACTACCAAACTTGCTTAGGATGCTGGATCCAGAATTTTCTAGATGAGTGAACAAGTGTAGGTCTATTCCCAAGTAACTATAAGCCCTACCTGCATGGATAATGCATCTAGGGACGAGAGCTACAAGTCTTGTTTCGGATTCTGGATCTGACCTACTTTTTTCCGGATAGTAACCAAATTTTTTTTTTAAGTTCACTTCCAGAAAAGGTTTTGGGAGCAAGTCCATTCCAAACTATATAAAAATCCTACCAAGACCAAACTTCCATAAATGTCTAGGAATGCACACTATCAGAATATTGATTGATTTGAGACTTTGTCTCATTTAAGATTCAATCGTTGAGGTGAGTTTTGTAATCTGTTCAATATTGGTTAAATGTTAGCTCTAGCTTGAGTATAGTATCATGAGACAGTCTTGATACAAGTCTATAATACATATAAGTGTGAGAACCCAAATTAAATAACCTACATTGCAGTTACTTTCGAACTGATAATCCTTGTTAATATGATTGTTATATAAAATTTATCATACCTATGATTACAATAGTCTTTGGAGGATGTAATTCCAGATACTAAGTAATACAGTTCGGTGCATGCAGCAGTATGGTGCACTGTTAGTGCCATATTAGCTCACCATTGTCCCGACTTATAAGCGAGGCAAATAAGATTTGTGAGTAAATCTCCTTGAACAAAAACAACACCATCACACAGAGAGACGCATTTCGCCTAAACAGTATAATGCCATGTACTGAAAAACTCCCAATGGACGATAGAAATGTCACAAACTTTAGAGAAATGTGTATGTATATTGTACCCCCTATATACTAACGGGATAGGCAACTCTCGCAAGTCTCGCGATACCTCGTAAGTCGCGGGATTTCGTAAGTCAATTTTAATTAAATATATCTCTTTTGCTATCAAATATTTCAGAATAAAATCTTAATTTATCTGTCAAAAAATTATTCAAGATTTGTTATAAGCACCGTTTTTACTCCTTACCTTAGAAGTAATTACGTTTATTTAAAGATCAATGCGTGCCCCTGATCGGCCGTATTTCCGAGAAATCGCCGATTTTGGTGGTTGTTTACTTAATATCTAAATTATTTTATAATATGTGCTTTAAAATTTATTAAATATCCATTCCGATACACAAAAAGAACAGATTACATTAATCAGAAAACAAGCTTTTTACTGGGGAAAAAGTAGTTTGAAAAACTTGCAGTGTTGTGTGTGCCGTTTTGGGTAAATAAATGGCGCTGAAGGAGTTGCCTATCCCGTTAGTATATAGGTCCCTGGTTAAAGTGAGTTAAAAATTCTTCTAAAAAGAACTCTTTTAACAAGAAAATCCTAGCATAATGATGATACAATTTACCTTAACAGTAGCTCCATATTGCAAACGCTAATGGGAAACTTGCAATGGACAATATACTAGTATGTGACACACACTTTGGAGAAATAGTATGAAAGTATGTACATTCTAACATATTTTCCCTGCTATCTCGACTTAAAAGTGACTCGACTTATAATTGAGGTTAATAATGCTTCTTGAATTAGAACATCACCTTTACACGGAGTGGACGCTATTGAAAAACTTGCAAAGACGATATGAATGTCACCTCATTTTGAGAAATTAGAATATACATTTTCTTGTAAAATTCAAACATTATTGTAATGTTTATCGATAATGAAATCTTGCTTCTCATACAGTGCCATGTAATTTGGAAATACATTTGGCTGAGGCCAACTTCTTGATTCTTCAAAATAATAATACTTCAATAGAAGTGGAACATGTCATCTTTAGGTCGGAAAGATATATTACATTCATTTGGAATTTTGAGTCATAAAGGCTTCATAATTATTATATTACTAAATACAATTATGATAGTATGAGTCTCATATTTGTGTGGAAATTAGTGTATTCTTTCAAATCAATTTTCCCCCTTTTCCAATGATTTCTGTAATTCTTCAATATAGAAGGACTTTGCAGCATTTATCGATCGTAAGATAAATTATCTAAAAACGTGGAAATAAAGACAGTAATCTGTTCTGCTGCAAAGACTTGTGCCTTTCTCACAGGCACAGTGTCACTAATGAACGGATAGTACGTCATCATTAGTCGCCGCGAGATCAAATCCAGCCAAAGGAGAAACGACAGGATTGAAATATATCACATTTAATCCCCATGTTTTAACTGATCCCAATTTTTGCTGCACTGGATTAAAGCAGGGATTGATTTCCACCAGTCTGGTTCGACAATCAGATCTGTACACGAGTTTGTCAGTAAAGTGCATTGAAAACGTCACTAGAAATCAAATATTGTGGGAGTCATTAGATATAAGCCTGTTGTATGGTATGATATCTTTGACATATGATCGCTGGACATAGGAGAAGTATGACAATAACGATAGGCTCGACACCCAGATGAATAATGAGACAGCAGAACATTGATCCCGAAGTAAAATATAATTGCTAAATGAAGCGGAGTGATAGAAATCAATAAAATTACCACTCTGAGCTATAAAATATTTACAAGGTGAAAAGGATGAGTTTCTTGTCGAGAGAAACATTGTTCTTATTTTAGTTCACATGTTTATATAACAAAATGGCGCGCTTCTACATGAAAGTCACACAATTCTCACAGAGTCCCTAGAAGAAGAAACATGACTTTTTGTTTTTTGTTTTAAGTAATAATAATTTATTGAAAGCTCTGATAAAAGAATAAATTTTGTTAGTTGAATCAATCTTTTTTAAAGAACCACCTTAGGAATACATGCATTTATACTGTATAAATGTATTGATGATTCTCATATGTTGTGCTTTTGCCAATTATTGTAATTGTGTTTGCGCCAATAAAATATTATACATGTACATTTATTGACTGGGTTCGAGGGCAACAAGCGTTTTGTCGGACCCAAGAACCAAACTGTTTGCCTAAGGCCGTTAAGCCGAAGGCAAACAGTTTGGTTCGAGGGGTCGACAAAACGCATTTTGCCCGAGAATACAGTCAGTAAATGTTTTGTTATACCTATTATTTATTCATTTATTTATTTTTGTTATACATGTATCTTTTGCTGGTTTCCATACCAACGAGTGCAAACATGATTGTTGATCCGGCCCACAGTGTGACGAAAGCGGTCCAATATCTCGTCTACAGGGCTAATATCTCACTCTGTTGTCAAACATCGATTTTATATGACCGCTCAGTAAAACATTAGAAATGTTAGACTTTTTAAAGTAAAGATTTATATAGGAACTAATTTATAGAGGTATATAACAATGTATTTTATTGTATATCTTTTTGAGAGATAGACAGTTAGACAACAGTTTTTGCAATTATAAATCTCATTTATTTCTGCGTCCAAAGCTCTTGTTACCATCTTTTGTTTAACTTTCAATTGAGGAAGGTGTGATTTCTTAAAAAAAAGTTTTCTATTTGAACTCTCAAAGTAAACTCAAATGGTTATAATGTCAGATATTTGGAACAAATGACAGCTCAAACTTATTGTCCAGCTTTCACTTATAATGCATTTTCCGAGTTTTATGTTAGTGTTCTGGATCTTAAGTAATCGGAACTTACGTAATGCCTTTTAAGAGCCTCATTATACCCCCTTTCTTCAAAGAATCTGAATCGAACGCACATTCTTCACGACCTACAGCCTTGAAGACAAATGCTAACCTGGTCAGTGGTATCATATCAATCACTGTATTGAAAAAATGCCATATTCTTATTTCATTTCAAATAGAAATGATAGCTGCATTCAAGGACCCTGCTGCCGTTGCGTTATATATAATTATGACTACGATTGTTACATCATGTTGTTATTGTTTATTGACCAGTGAGTGACCCGCCGTATATGTTCACATCAACAAACGACTATAAAGTCACATTAGATTGAGACGGATTATTAGAATCTAAGATCTCCATACACAATAATATGTCTGTCTCACGAATGGGAAAAATAATTTTATGGCGTATACAGTTGCCATCTTAACAACTAGTGATCAAAGAAATGTGTGAGAGCGGATCACAGTAGCTGTTACAGTGTATCGGTTGAATGTGTGCTTTGTATTGACGCGGTAGTCCAAGTAAAAATGACATTTCTCCGCTAATTAAAGCTACACATATAAACTATGTAACAGCTGCTGTGCTGTCATGAGAGAGACTGTTTTTCGTTGTGCAAAATGTAGATAGAGGGATTTCTTTACACAGGTATGACAAGGCAAATTTGTATTTTGTTTTTCTTGTGTGTATGAAAAATTTCAAGTTACAATTGTGGACAAGGGAATAAAAATAGTGGTAAAATGGCCGTTAACGATAAAAAGAGAAAAAAAAAGAGTGAATGTTTTTAGATGTTAAATTTTTCAAAGGATATTAGGTCTACTGTTGGAAGAAAAATTACTTTTGTGTACTAGATATATTGTACGATAATTTCCTCGCCCAGGAGAATCAGTTACGGAGGAAAAACTTTACAGGGAACGATCTCTTTTGCAGTCTTGAAAGAATGCAGGAAATTTGATTTTTGAAAAGATTTCCCGGATGAGTTGAGTTGACGAAGTATTTTCTTTAATTACGCATTTATACGCCAGTCAGTTGTTCTTCGTGCTTTGTCTAAGCTTATATGTATAGATTTTGCAGTCGGTAGGACTGAACCCCAGGTGATGCTACATTGTTCATTAGATGGTATTGTTTTGGATTTTTTTTTCAGGTGCATAAATACAAGGATTCCACTTTCAATGAAGTCGCTTTGGCAGAAGCTGAAGAGTTTGTGATTATCGAGTCCCAGCCAGAGAGAAGCAATTACGTAGATGACTTTGATATGAATACGAAGCAGAATGTAGGCCGAACGCGCCCAGTGCCACAGGAAGGTGACAACGGTATAGAGCTGTCGTCTGCTGTGGCGGATAAAAAGGCGCGCGAACATCAGCGTGACGATCACAAAACAAGACGACAGAGAGAGAGGGGGGATTTTCCAGATGACAGAAGAACACAAAGGGCCAAAGCTAAAACCGATGACAGAAGGAACGGAACAGGGTCTCCTAAAAGAGTCAGCCCTGTTTCCCCACAACGGAATTTTTTGAATAATAATGTGAGATATGTCCATAATCGATTCATAGTCTTAGACACCCCAGACAGTACTAGTGCAAATTTGCCAAAATCATCGGGGACCAAACGCGGTGTTGATAATCCACAGATGCGAATGGCTGAAGGTTCAGATGGTGCTTTTACCGATGAGCCGCAGATAGGTCGCCTCACTGACAGGTCCAGAGGCAATCGTCGTGAAATGGCGATGGACGCTTCCTCCGTAACTATGGACGGACGTGACATTGAAATTTGTGTGTCTGACCCTGATAATTCAAACATGACAATACATTCTCCGAAAAAACCTAAAAGTATTTGGAAAAGGATTTATCTATGTTTACAGGACAATCGTATGAAAGACTTAGACCCCGAGGAACTTCTAAATGATCCAAACCAATACCGGGTCTTAAAGAAAGTTTTGAACATAATTTTCATAACCATTGGGGTGACATTATTTGTGGCTGTAGTCATCAGCGTTATTTACTCGTTTATTGGTGAGTACTTTTTAGAGTCTTCATACAGTAATTCTTGCCTCTTTTTGTCAATGTATAAATTTTTGTGGTAAGAGTTTTCGACCAGGAAGTTCCCTGTCCTTTTTTGTTAATTGTACAAAAAATCTGCCACTATATTGCTTTTGATAAAATCTGATTTATACCGTAATTATATATGTCTGTTGCAGTAAATATAATTTTACTTTCTAGTATGTAATATCACTTAATATTATATGAAGTGCTCGACAAAGGCATTTTAAGTTCTCGATATCGTGAGAGAATGAGACACTCTGTACCAGAAACGTTTACTGAAAAAAGAATACTAACACTTCATATCAATAAAGCTCAAGAGGTTACATTGAACAGTTAGTGTAACACCTGGCCTCTAACGCCACTTCATGTAAAAAGAGCTACATATAAGAAACCAGTACTGACGCCTGAATGTTTCTTGTGCTTGGAGAAGAGTTTAAGATCAAAATGTGATACCCTATGTACCGAAAATCGTTGTTTATTTTTATACTCATTTTACCTGCAAAACTTAACACGAAACGCAGGTGATTGCATTTGATATAAAATTGAACATGGCTAAATCATCGATCAATATACATCATCTGATGAAGACAATAACTAAATAATTCATGAAATACTTGTTCGTGGATATTGATCACGGGGTTCTGTTCATTCATTGGGGTATCATTTCTACTTCTCGTTCAATTCTCTGGAGTTTATCCTGAACTTGTTCGAACAATTTAAACTCTCTTTTGCAAAGATATAACATTTGTTAAAATTGGAAAAGAGCTAAAGTAAAAAAAAAAATATTAAAATGATAAAGTTCTTTATATTAAAGAATATTTGTACTAGTTTTTGTGAAGAAGTAACTTTTATCCGATATCGTAGGATCCTATATAGGTTTAATATTACAAAAGATCCGTCGCACTATTGCAAGTGAACATGCCATAGCATTCAAGATGATCAGCGATGCTGCGGCATTAATGTCAGATAATGAACATTTTTCGTACCATATAGATGTTAAATCTTTGCCATAAGTCGAGAAAGAGGAAAATTTCCGGGCAATTATGGGGCATTTGCAGTGTAATCTGTAAATATGTCATGCTTAAAGAGTGTAACGATTTCTTACAATGGACTTTTGAAAGACAGAAGACCAAACTGATCGATAAACATGCATATATGAATAGTGATTGCCATTACTAGTATTCATAGAAATTCAGTCTTTTCTACCAACTCATCGCAATTACAAAATAATATTATTAAACGTAGCGTATATGTTAACAAATCAATATACTAAGTTTCTTTCAAATTTGAAAAAACAAGAGGGAGGGGAATCCAGTACTACCAGACATCCTCTAGCCAATTTTTATTTCTTTATTATTAGGGAAAACGTGTTCGAACGACTATCTTTGGTCGATTTACTGATAATTTGAGATATTTGTGAAATGACTTATTAACATTCTTGTTATGTTGTTTTCATTTTAATTATTGTGTTTTCGATGAAAATTTTTATTTATGCAGTAGGTGACCAAGACCCACTAGAGCAATCGGACGCAGCACCTTCCCCCACCTCATCGGTAAGTGGCCATGTTGACCTATTTTCTTAAATCCGCCAAGAACTCCAGAATCCATATCTAATTAATGTACATAGTCCCCCTTCGTTAATCTTCTCTCTATTTATTGACCTATTATTGTTCTGTGACACTTTCTCTTGTTATGATATCGTTTATGGAATGTTCTTGTCAACAGACTATACCCAGGAGGAAACTTTAAGGTGCGTTACACACAATATACCATCTGCATGATGAACACTATTTATTAGCACTCAATGACCGCTGTAAATGTTTATTCCGTATAAGGATTTGTTTTACTTCATGTCTTATCCCATTTGTTTAAATCAATTTTTACATCTCTGTAATGGATCAGGCACTAAATAATTCTGGAAAGTCACCGGTAATCAATGAATATCTAACACTATTAAAATAATATTAAAAAAAACTATCGTCAATATTGAATTTAATAGTCCGTGATTTTAGCGTAAATGATCGGTTAATTATAGGTAGTGTTAACTCTAGGAAAACGAATTTCAAACGTTGGATTTGATGTTCATTGCTTGAAATAATGAACTTTTTTTTTACTCACCACAAGGCAGGAATGGTTAGTATACTGGTGGCGATAACATTCTTTCACAATTTCCGTGATGTTGCTTGCTTTACCAGGCCCGTAGAACGTGAGCCCCCCCCCCCCACCCCCCGCTTTTTCCGAGTACAGTATTCTGCCATAGCAAATTTTCATTTTGATGCTAGTCCCCCCCCCTCCCTTTTGAAACCCTTGCTACGGGCCTGTTTACGTCCCTTAATGAATATTTCACAATATTAAGACACCACATTTGCCGATGGAAGGCTGCAAATTTAGACCTATACTCGGCAATTATGGCCTTTGAGCCAGCATCTACCGTGACACGGGACCCCTGGTTATACGGTCTTATCCGAAGGGCTTGTCTCCACGACCCGCAGTGGGATTCGAACCCTCGAAGGAACTAGGTGAGACCTTCACTCGAAACACTGGGCAATACTGCCGATTTTACAATCATCTTGGTTAAATCGATCTTCCTTTCCAAAATTTTTTATTAATTTTATGCTAAACCTAAGACGGAGTAAAGGCGTATGTGACATTGAACAATCTAAAATTTCTTTACAACTTTGTTTGCAGGGGCAAAATTGCATTATATATATATATTTCTCAAGTTTTTATTTTTCACAGCAAAAGCAATATATTCTCTATTTTTAGTAATCCATGTCCATTTGCCTGTTCGATTGATATTTTCTACAAACGGAACAAGTCTTGATATCTAATGAAATAATCACACTGCTTCAGCTCTATGAATGGTTTATGAAGAAAGCGTTGAATACGGTATATCGTTTAGCACTTTACTAGTCAAATGGACTTTATATGAGGAGGAAATTGAACTTGATAGGAGATTGGAGATTTAACAGCATTACTAATATCTTTAAGAAAATTACCAATCGAACACGGCAATTGACATAAGATAACACTTCTCACGTTTCCGTTTCCTTTTGATGTTGAACTGGGTGTTGTGCAAATCATTCACACGTATAGTTCCTTTCCATAAATCTTTTTTCTTAGTATCAAACAATACCCTTAAGAATCGATTTTTGCATCATATTTAGATAAGATGCCATGCAACAGGATTATTGTCTATGAGACAACCTCATCATTTTTATTTGATTTTGTATTTAATCAAAGAATGGTAAGAAAGCAAATGCATGTAGTTTCACCTTCAGATTTAATGCTGTCAGATTAATTAATTCTTCTTGTCTGCAAGGAAGAAAACTTATAATAATTTTACAATTTTCTTTATCGTATACCTTTATTAAAATATAATATTCATGTGTACTAGACATGTAGGGTGTTTATCCCTTTCCCCCCTGACCTTAGTGAAATGGAAAAAATATTGTGTTTCTAATACAGATACAAGCATTTCGTAAACTGTATAAAAATCAAACAGATATGATATGCTAGAACACTCTGAATGTTCTAAAGGAAGCAAGATAGTTATTTCAGCGTACATCTGAAAGATCAGACAAGTTTCAGAAGATGTGCATTATTTCCATCCAGGATCTCGGAAGAATCTTCGGTAAAATTCCCAGTGCCACTCAGGAACTTCAGAGCCACTCGGAGTCACTTCATGTCTTCATGAGATTTTTAGTTTATAAAGGTGATTGGCTGGCAACAATACTGTCATGAGAAGGCAAAGACCACGGGGGTTAATCATTATTTTTATAATGGCCGAAGACTAGAGGTCTGTAACCAGAGTCCTGAACAAGTCACCCGAGACTTCTTGAGTGATAATGCGCTATCCCGATGCCCTTATCTTGTATTGTTTCGTCTTGTATTTAACTTGAAAGAAAATATATAATTGAGCAGGACATTCCATATCACAGTAGGCTAGGAATGATGGACAAGGCTTTCACAACATCGAGTTATTCATAAAATGAATTTGCCACTTTCTCATACTATAAACAAATCCTTAGTTGTAAACAGTCTCAATACACAAAAGATAATTCATATAACAAGATTCCTTATAAAGAAATATATAGTGTTAAAGAATGTATTGAAATTGAAGACATACAAGTTCGTTTATTGCCATTTCTGGATAATTTCCAGTGCTCACTTTACTGAGAATTAATATTGTATCTTAATACTCCCTAGATAGTTTCAGTCCGTTAATAAGGTTTCATGGAATATTATGAAGATGAATTTTCTTCTCAATCTGAATTCATGTTTGAGCATTAATATCAATGAAAGTTACACAATAAATCTACAAAAAAAAATCAGCACTGTGTAACGGAGACAAAGTAAAATATACCACAGAACAACAACATGAATAGATTTTAGGAACACACTGTTTATTATAAATTGCATCAACACTGGGTTCCTCGCAATAATCAACTCAGTGTGCCGTATAGTTTGAATTTTTTAAAATTATTTTTAATTTTTTTTTGTGTGTGGTTATTTTGCTTGAAATATTCATTTAAACCATAATATTTGTTCTTTCTATTTTCAGTCTTGTGCTAATAACCTGACTTGTGTCACTAATACTTGAGAGCAAGAGGCGGACATTAACGTATTGCCAATCCAAAGATTGGACATCACAGATAGACAAGACATCTACCGAATTCCGGATATCGACCATCTACCGTGTATAAAATATATTAATGTAAATTTTGAGGACACATATAATGATATTTGCTACTAAACCAAAATCAAATGAAGGACGCATTACACAATGTGATTATTATTTTTCAATTGTTTGGAAATGCAAAGTTAATTGCAGGATTTTAGAATCAACATTTCCTAACACGCATCCAATACAATTTCACTTCTTTAGAGTACCAGAAGTATAAAGCTTTTTTTAAAAAATCGATATTCCGACCTAAAACATAATCCTGCAACAAACTGAACGTTAATGACTTATGGCTGCGCAGTAGTCTGGGTCCCATTTTCAATATGATGTTTCCAGGATACTGTATTTGATGTTCTGTACAGTGCCTTTTTTACGGATCAGTTTTTTTGGCTTTATCTTCTTTTTTATATGTTTTCATAAAATAATTAAAATGGAATAAAGAGATTATACTGCAACAAAGTCGGTTGTATATCGTATCTTTCATATCAACAGCTCGCCACACGGCGGGCAAAAGTCAATGAATCAATATATATAATAAAAAAAAGGTTTAAATAATAATTTTGAATACTTGGTACATTTCCTTTTTATCCAGACTTCTAAATTGGTCTAGTTAGCAAAGTTTTCTCTCTAAACAATGAAGATTTGCACTTTGGATCCTATTTTCATGTTGCAGCTTATACAGACACCGCGTTGCCAAAGCCCCACAACATAAGGTGCAGAGACAACATGCATTTTCATCATGCTCGTTTAAAATAACGCTTTGAACCCATATTGAAGTTTAAAAAATGTTTTCGATATGATCTCGCTCGTATAATGAATAGTCTTTCGCTTTTTCCCCTTTAATATCGGTACATTTATCATAATTTTTAAAGTAGATTTACTAGAATACATTATTGAACTTAAAATGTGATTTTACAAAAACAAGTAATGTTCATTGTTGACTTCTTGTTTTGTAAAAGTATCGGTAATTGTAACTATCATTTCAGGTTGAATTAATTGTTGTTGCGTTATAAACAAAAATAAAACAGTGCGTAGAAAAGATCAGAGTCGATAACAGATTTGTATTTTAAACCAGTACAACAATGTGATCACGTGTTTAGGACGACGGCAATCTCCCCATAGTGCTGAAACCCACCATCAACAAATCAGAAATCCTGCAGAAATCTAGGATCTTTCGGTGATTGTCTTACGTCTTCATTTCTTCTTTGATTTTGACTAATTCCTTTTCGACTTCTTCCACGAACGCCGGAAACTCGGGATCAGCCAAACATAATTTGATGAGTGTGTTTAATTGTGTTCCGTTCATCGATTGGACTCTGTCATATGCTGCCGAAAGTTTCACAGACGCAGTTCCGTTGACAACCTTTTTTGAGATGAATAAATAATGAATTAAGCTCGAGCATTGTGAAAAATCAATCTTTCACAAAAGAAATTGTGTGAAATAAATATTTTCCTTAATTTATGTCTGTATATATGCAACATTTTTGAAAGGGGGACCGGCGATTTGGACCTTTCTTTTTTCAAAATAATTACTTGCAAATGTTTCTATATATTATGTCTAAAGTATGAAATAAGAATTCCGTAGTTGCAACGTGGCTCTTGAAGGACAGATTTGAAAATACACTTTATACCGTATGTTATCATAATAAATCGCAATCGGCAATCCTCGGCTGATCCGCTACGCTCCATACAAACCTCGGATGTGATTGGTGGAGGAATATGCATCAAACCGATACATTTCTCCACTGGAAACTGCCTTTTAACTCATTTCATATTTCGCTCTGCATAAAGTTCACAAAAAAGTTTTGAAAACTTGTCTAATATTCTTTCTTGTATGTCGGTTTTGATTACAATCTTATATGTTTGTGGTATTTGAAAGCAGAAACATAGTGTTGGGCGTGCCACAAAGTAACTCGGATTTCAAAGGAATAACATTTGAAGGAATTTCGAATTGGATCACATGATTGTATTAGCAAAATGGTAGAACACCGTTCACGTCCGAGGTTAGTGGGCGAGACACGAGCCACCCGAGGAGCTCCGAGTGACGGAAACCGTACTCACCTCCGCCATTTTGGAAATAGTTATCTCCCCTTCGATCACCTCTTTTTCATTTTTGTCCTCCTTTACTTCCTGCAGAAGTGAACATATTCATATATATACATGGGGATATATATATAAATTGGTTTCTTTGGGACGTTTGGGTAAAATTTGTTTTATTTTTTCCAGATCATGTTGGCATAACTTCACATACCCTGCTGGTGTTCAAATTTTTATTTTTATTGATATCTTTGACGGATGTCAAATATGCCTTGATCTTTCTGCTTTACTTTTCTTAACTATTTGCCTTCATTCTATAAAGCGTTTGTTGTAGAGAATGGATGCAAAATAATATCAGCAAAGAAACATTGAAAGCAGAATTTCAGAAAATTAATACAAAAAATAAATCTTTTATCAAATAACCAGCGACAAATCACCCAGAGCTTTTTTCGTAAAACGTATTGAGTTTACCTGGGAAGATTCAACAGTGATCGGTAAAATTTTTACTGGAAAGAAATCGGACAACTGCTCCGCACACTCTTGACAGGAGTTTTCTCCTCCGGCAAACTTAACACGAAATCGATGTGTGTGGGTCTGGAAGTTAAAAAAAGAGAGTTCGATTATATTATAAAGCATTAAAAAAGAAAAGGGTGGACTGTTTGATATACAAACCTCCAGACGATAGATAACCAACAAAGTGTCGCCTTTAGAAATGGCTCGGAGTGCCTTTGAAGATGACGGTAAGACGTGGGACTCCTGAAATGGAAAATCCAGGCAAAATGAACTATGGTCAGTAAATTGCCATACTTTATTAAAAACTAGTTAACCTATATTAAAATTATTCATTAATTACTTGAAGTCTCACCCTAACAGTTTTCCCATGTATCAGAGTCATATTTCCTTGCTGAATTCTCAGATCTATAGGACACTGCTTGTCATCAAAATCCTCCAAAATAGATATATTATCGGACAAATCATTCATATATATACTTATAAGGTAAAAGGATAGTACCAAATGATAAATAGAGGAAATTCAAAGTTTGATATGAAATTTATTTGCGAGTGGAGCAGGATATTTCCATATTTTCAAGTGCGGGAAGCATGAGTGAAAATTTAAAAAACAAGTCTCACGAGTAAAATTAATTCCATATCATACCACAAAAGATTGATTTTCTGTTTATTACATTTTCTTTACGTTTCCTTTTGTCCCTATTAACTGTATCTTTATTGAAATTCAAAACAATAATGTGCGGTGAATAATATACACTTATCCACTGGCTGTGAGTGGGATACCTCTTTTATCAAACCCGTGACAGGGACTATCCCCCGAGGGTTTGCCATATGCAACATACATAACCTACTGATAATTTTTCAAGGTTTTTCTTAATTTAAGATTATTTATTGTTTATCCAAACTTGTTTAAGAAGAAGTGTACACCAGCATACATAGACATAAAAATGTAGCACACAGTTCCTTTTCAAGTATTGGGACTCTTCAACTCCAGGGAAAAAGACACTAATGGAGTATGTTAAATGTTTGTACAGATGATTCCTGCAGAAAAAACGCTAAATACGGCCATATTCTTTGCTTGGGTATACTAAAACACCCATTTACTGGCTATGAGGACAATAGCAAGTTTATTGTCTCCTAAGACAGCAACTATTTCCCGAGGTGCAGACGAGGGAAATAGTTGCTTTTGAGAGGGACAATAAACTTGCAATTGTCCTCATAGCCACCATCTTCGCTAGCCAAAGGTTTCTGATCCGCTCTTCTCCTCACAAGCCCTTGGCCTCAGGGGCGGATCCAGCAATTTTTGAAAGGGGGGGGTTCCAGGTCGGTGCCCCCAACATTCATGCATAGAATTACGCCACAGACACTTCAAGGCCGTAGCAATGGTTTATCAAAAGGGCCAACCTCCGAACAGAGTTGACAAGCTAAAAAACAACAACAACAACTGTGCACCAAATTCTTACATCCTATTTCGGGGTAAGGGGGGGGGGGGGATCCTCTTACTTTTCCGCACTTTTTTGGTTTCAAATGCTTGAAGTGCGTATTTTGAACTTCCAGCAACAAAATGGGGGAGCATCCAAATCAAAACCTGCATATTAAAACTACAGCAAAAGATTATTCTCAGAATAAGTGAACCCACTCCCTCCGCATACCACTGAGGCATTTTACATCTTTCTCTTCATAGATTAAAATATCACCATAATAATCTCTTATGTATGCGCCCTTTCATGACTTTTTATTCATACTTTTTAAAGTTAGTTACTTCAGAAGATGGTCCAAAAATGGCATGGAATCTTCCAATGATATCAAAGTGAAATCTTGCATGTTACTTGTGGGTTGTCGGGGCCCGGGGCCAAGGTTCTGGAGGTACGTGGAGGATGGAATACGGGACACTTTATCTAGCGAGCAGAAAGGGCAGAGATTGAACTACTTATTTTATTCAAAATATTAGACGTTAAATTATCTATATTACAGAAATCTCTCTCTTTCTCTCTCTCTCCAAAAATAAAGGGGGGTTTCCAACCCCCGGACCCCCCCCCTCTGGATCCGCCAATGGGCCTATAGTGCTGTCAAAAGTTGGGATTGTTTACGTCACATGATACCAAACGTAGATTGCGTCATAGGCAGATATAAAAAAGCGAATTTAAAAATTAAAAGTTTTTAGAGAATAATTAGCAAGAAGAATGTTTTATTTGTTATTTAGGGTGCAAATCTACATCGGTAATATTGATTCCTGATTACATTATTTGTACATCAACTTCAGATTGGATGATACATAGCTATTTATAGAATGGCATGTTATCTTACGGATCGTTATGTACTTGTGTTTTTCATAATCAAGATATATATCCCGAACGCAGACATTGGTCGAACTTATATTAATCAACTCAAATCACAACTCGAGAAAAAAGAATATGATATTAAGAATTAAAAATTACTGTTGCCAATCATATGGTGCCTTCTTCTATTTCAAAGGATTAGATATTTCTCGTTCTGAGAAAAAAAAAGAAGAAAGAAAGAAAGATGTCTTATAGGGTCTATCAGATGATATTACCACAATGAGATAAAAAAAAAATTGAGAAAAAATACATGTACATTGACTAACTCGAATTTTCTCTATTTTTCTTCAATGGGGGGGGGGGGATATTAATTTTCATATGCTTCGATTATTTAAAGTTTTCTTATTTTCTAATTGTGCTCCTTTTTAGCCGACTTGTTTTTATATTCCTGTGAAGAAGAAATTATTTATAAACTTCTACATTAGAGGAAGAAAACACCTGCTGTGCCTTCAACTCGACATTCAAAAATATAGACGACGTTTCATCAATTAACAATTATAGTTACTTCCATTCATATGTGAACTATATATATATATATATATATATATATATATATATATATATATATATATATATATATATATATATATATATATATATATATATATATATATATATATATATATATATCAGGGAAATTGAAATAAGAAACACCACAGAGTCTGCCACATCTATTTCACATTTGGATGTTTTTCTGGCTATAGACGATAAGGGTCAACTACATGTAACAACTAAATTGTATGACAAACGAGATGACTTCAGCTTTTTATCGTCAACCTTCCTTATTTTAATATGTACTATTGTAGTAATATTCCGTTATCACCTGCATATGGTATTTAAGTCTCCCAACTTATTCGATACTCAAGAGCATGTTCTGAGTAGGATCAATCTTTAAATCGAGGCAGGCTACGGACAGATAAGTTGATGTTACAGGGATTTAACAACCTCGTTTAAAGTCAGCATTTCGTAAATTCTATGGTCGTTATTATGATCTTGTTATCAAATATAAACCTATCATTGGGTTGTATTTTGGCTGACGTGTTTCATATCAATTGTTAGGCCTTTGTTTTTATACTAAATTTGACTACGGAATGTTCCGTCTACCTGGTCAATACATAGGACTCACGGCGGTTGTGACTGGTCGACAGGAGATTATTACTCCTTCTAGGCACCTGATCCCAACTCAAGATTTTACGGGGTTCAGATTTTATGCCCTGTTCACAGATTTGTATTGTTTGTAGTTTTTGAGATCGATCACTGTTCGTTAACTTCACCTTTTTCATTCAGAAATTTCCTTTAAGCCTATGATTATGCATCGTATTTAAAATTGTTAATTAAATTTATTATAATGTAGAAATTCTGAGAAGCAGAAAAGATATTTTCATATGCCGTCGTTGCGCCAAAAAAAGTCCATTTCATTTCTATTTTAAGTTGTACAATTAAGAGAAGGAAAGAAAAATATGATCTTTTAAATCTCTAACATCTAAAAAGACTTTTCAGGAAATATACTTTGAATGTTTCGTTTAGTCCGAAAACAGATAAGAATCCCTCCTGAAGATCCCTTCTCTTTGACAATACTTGAAGACTATGTTTACCTATAGTCTGAATATTTGGATCTTGTTGACAAACAAGATGACATCGCCATTCCCGCTTACATTTGTTCATTGAATGCATCGCCACTACCTACCCACTATAGAGATGTAAGGGGGCTATACTGGAATTTACTGCGTTCCTGTCTGTCTGTATGTCTGTAGACGCAATGTAAATGTCAGTTTTTTATCCATTTTCCGGCTTAACTGTATAAAAGCATCACTGGTTACTTCATAACTTTTAAGATGCATGTTCAAATTATATTTGTGTGCGGATGGATGTTGGGATTCAATGCTCACAAAAGCTTTTAGACTATTACTTAAAATAAATAGCATGTTTATACAGTTTGAAATGATCATTATCTAAGAATGATCAGATTAAAGGTTGAATTTGAGTTCATATTAAATCGTCAGCGAATAATTTAAACCGAATGTTTCGTAGCATTCTTATGGCCGGTTGCGTACCTATGGCTCAGATAAGTACAGCTCAGCCACTGATCCGCGGATCACGTAAGCCGGGTTTAAACCCCAGTTGAGTCGGGTTTACTTGAGACGTACTTCTGTTGCACGCTATAAAACTGAGTAAGGCTTACCTAATCTTGACTTACTCAAATTAAACTGTTGAAGGCTAGTGAGTTTCCTAATTTTACAGCTCTTCAAACATTTTTTTGATAAATCTGGTTGAATCTCGAAAGGATATATGTAAAAACAAATATATATATATTGATGGTAAATTGTTAATTAAAATGCAGAAAAAACTGCAATACAATTTAATTCAAACCACAGGATCTGTCATCGAAACTCAAACCATAAGAAAATATGAAATAGCAAACATAATACAGCTTTTCCAAAAGACTGAAGAGAGGAAAAACTGGGAGTGGGGTCTTGGGAATAAGTAACAATAGAAACAATACCAAAACTTAAAACAGAGGTAGGAACAATGTATATATTTAAATTTTCAATTTAATATCAAATGATACCTTTTCTGTAGATATCAAGCCATTAGTACTTAGTTGTTTAGAAGGTTTAGTTTGATGTACAACTAATGTAGCAAAGAGATTATTTGGACATTATTCATATAGCCAGCAATCCAGTGAAACATTCAATTCGGTACAAGTATTGATAAATGTGAGTTTGTTGTCATGTTCTCAAGGATCAGGCCGTAAGCATTTTCAGTTGGGGGGGGGGGGCACAGCCAAACATTTTTAGTTGTGGGTCACAACCCAAATATCCTTGACAGGCAAATTAAAAAAAACAAAACGTCATCATACGTTATTATTGAGAAGGCACAATCATACATTAGCTATATTTTCTAGAGTATTCTATATATCGGCAAAGTTATTAAGGCTGGGCAGCCCCCCCCCCCCCTCCCGGTCCTACGGCCATGTGAATAGCCTACACAATGATAAAAAATAAACTTTTAATTTCTAAGAAATTCGGTTCGGCATTATTAGAAACTATTGGAATGTGTATCACCAGCTGTTTGCAAGTTTGAAAGTGTGAAATTCGTAATTTGATTTAAATTTGGTATGAGAAAGTTTATATAATTTTTTTTTTTTTGTTATTTTACTAAAACGACACACTGAAGAAATGTGCCAAAAAAAAATCTTCAATATGACCATAAAAAATTTCTTGTAGAATAGCCTTTTTAATATGGCGAAATCTTTCAATACAATCATCATCACTACAATCATCATCACCATAAAACATTTCTGGAACATCAAAACAGTTCAAAATATCAAAATATTCTACCAAAAATCCATGGAAACGATATCAAGCTGGGTTTAAACTACCCCTATACCAGGTTCAGAATTTACCGTAATTCTGAGCTGTACTCAGCCAAGCCTTACCTGTGTGCAACGTGTAAACTTGGATTTAAACCTGGAATCATTGATCGGAGGTTTAAATCCGAGATACGCAACCGGCCATTAGAGGCATATAATGTTTCTTTGAAATCCCTTTGCCTCAGTGTCATAGAATGTGACGTCATAGCTAAGCTGTAACGGGAGAGGAGAAAAATGCAGCGGACCAGACCGGGATTCGAACCCGGGCCCCCTGAATCTCCAGTCAGGTGTTCTACCAACTGAGCTATCTGGCCACCGGCGATCGAACTCGTCTGACCGCCACAAAGCGATTGAGAGATTGAAATCGTTGTAAACATGGATTTTTAACAATACATTGGAGAAACTTTGGCAGTTTTAGTCTCTGTCAGGATGGTTCATTTACTCTATCTTATAACAGGTCAGGGAGGTTTTTTTTTTTTTTTTTTTTTTTTTTTTGTTAAAAACTTTTCGTGAAGGGAAGGAAAATCGAGTTTTTTCGAACTTCTGGTATTCTCTCACACTGTGAGAATACCATTTTGATATCCTTTCACGCTATGTCAGAATATATCTTTTATTCAGTAAATAAATAAATTACAGTATTTCACTGTTGAAAATGTAATAAATTGTAATTACATGTTCATATTAAGAAAATAGACATCTTCTGACGATATGCATTGCTGTACTCTTACTGTGCTGTAAAAATTTCAGTTACAGGGGTTAATTAAAACCGTATCGAGAAGGTTTGAATTAATTTAATTGTAAGATGTTTTATAATTAACGAAATAGTATTATTATGTGTATTTTCAAGAAACGTACATGTATATGTTGCCCCGAGTCTCGGGTCGTTATATTTTTCTCAATGGGATGAGGAAAGACAGAAAAATTTTCATTTAAACCTTCGAGCCTGTAATGAAGTCATTTCCAAGAAGAAAATTATTTATCAATCAGTTATCGAAATCATTTTTATGGGAGAAGTTTTACCAGGTTTAAAATTGTAATGTTGAAAGACATGTTTCAAAGAAGATGCTTACTTTAAGTGTTTACAGCAGCTGATAAATAATGAAAACCCTAGAATACTATTGTCTGTCTCTAAATTCATCCACTTGTACTGAGACTAACTCATCTTTATACTTCACATAATTCTTAAGCCTCCACTTCTGGTAGGAAGAGCAACAGCTTTGATTGTATTTATTGATATTCCACTCTTTGCTATTTTTACTTATACATATGTACCTAATACAATATCTAGAAATTATTAGCACATCGAAGTTTTTTTTTTTTTAATGCGTAATATGTTTTCGATATGACCTCGCTCATATAATGAAATAATCTTTCGTTCTTTTTCGTTTTCCGTTAGTAACCCGGTTTGTCAGCTATACAATGTCGCCAGTTCACTGATGTCCAGCAAGAAGATATATATAATATATGGTTGTGTACATATTTATGTGTAAAACTTCGATTATTACACTTATATTGCAATGAGTTCTTTAAACTATTTCATTTCATAAATGCAAGTTGAAAGTAAGCCAACAATTCTTACTCCTTAGTAAGATTTTAACTACGTATCCTGTGAAAACTTTGCAAGGATAAATTTAAGGTGGAATTAAAAATAGCATTTCATAATTTGGAACATGTTACTAAACAAGGGGGTGGGTGTTGTTATGTAATAGATCGATTAAGAAAGAAAACTTGTACATTTTTTGTTGAAGAAACAAATAAACCAAAAAAAAAAAAACAGAGATAGAGAGAGAGAAAAATCTTAGAAGAATTTCTTTCGAAAATGGCCAGTGAACAGTTTAAAAGAGGAATGCAGTCAAAGTAAATATATACACTTACATCCCACTCTATGGTGTCACCCCCTTTATGGACCGTTTTCTGTCTAGCATATCGTTTTATTTTCCAAGCCATTTTAGTTTAGCATTTGTTGTTAAATTTTCCCGCGTCATAAGTCACTCTAAAATTCAAACAAAAACTCCCCTTCCGGAAATGGGTGATCAGAACACTTGGCCTAGTTTAAAGATTATTATTAATTGAGATGTTCAAATAAATGCCAGAAAATAAAGCCATAAGTAACTATGAACACACGTTCAAAATGATCATAGTGGTCTCGCATGATATTTAATTTCATACACTCACTCGGAAACTATAGATCCTGCACGTCTGAGCCTTAAATTGTGCCTTACGTCATGACTATTTGTGCACGATGATCATGATGGCGAGAAGGTGAACCTCTTCACAAGGAAAAGGACTCGGAATTTATCGTTTATTGAACAAGGAATCAGACGATTAAGCTGTGGTTATGGATGAAGAGGTATATTTCACTATACACTAACTGCCAGATTTTTTGTGTACTGACTAGGGTCGGTTTCTTGTAGCAGGGACCAATATACTAAGTTAGTATATAGGTCTCTGCTTGTAGCTAGTTCTCTAGCTGAAAGCCAAAGTGAAAATAAAAAAATAATAATAATTTCAAAGATATACGTCATACTACTTTTAAGGACTTGTCACACTTAATGAGTTATTCAATTTCACATTATTTTTTGCTTAAATTTGTTAATTTATATTATAAATGTTTGTTTCACTTTGACAATTATTTTTTGCACATGATGTCATTTAAATAATGTAATAACCAGGAAAGCCCCAGACCCCGAGTCCAGAGCCTTCCGTCTGACTACAGTGATGTCCAGCCTGAATCTTATGACCCGGAATTCATTAGCCAGATAAGCAGCAAGATGCAGGTGCCATACAATCTGGTGGGGATGGAGGGGGTGAGGGCAGATAGCAGAGGGGTGTCAGAACCTGATCTCTCCTCCTTCACTGATATGAAGGTTCCAGACAGAATCATGGTGGCAGGTGAATTTTTCTTTTCTATCTTTTTATAACTCTATTTTTGAGCTTGTAAGTTTAATAACTGTCTTTTTTCATCCTTTTTGTTAAGGAATTGATACTTGGTTTCTTTTTGGTTACTTTTGATAACAAAAACACAAGAAGCATTGTGTGAATTTTATTTTGCTTAAAAGTTTATGCATGCTTCAAAGGGTTACTATAATTTTGCCCTGAAACCAGAGAGCCCCATGCATAAGCTCCCAAAAGTTTTTTTCTACGGGCACCCAAATACATGAACCAGTCTCCCAAATTCAATTCAAGAGCACCCCAAATACATTTTCAGGGTTTCAGATTGCCATCGGCCATTTGCTGATAAAAATTCAAAATGGCTGGAAAAAATAAAATTTAACTGCCGAAATGGCCTATAAGTTTAACATTGAACAGACGTAATGGCCAATTAAATTCTGTATGTAAAGGCCGGTCATATTGGGGGGGGGGGGGGGGTTTCCCATTCAGATCCAATTAATTTTCTTTTACTACTTCCTGCAACTGCAGATTTCATTGGCCAATGACAGTCAGGTATTAGATCTTGATCACCAGATCGCTTCATGCTATTTCTTGTAGCTGATACGCTTCTTTACCAATATTAACATGGAGTAGTGGACAAGCACATGCACCTTCAAATATTAAACCTTGTGGAATACAATATTTAACGGGCAGTAAACTCTGCAATTTCGGAATTAGAACTCATTTGAATGACGTCAATGAAACTGAAGAATAAAAAAAATAATTTAAAAAAAAAAAAAAAACGGAGAAAATCACACTGAAAGAGATGCGAAGATTTCGGAGTACATGGCTTAGCATTAACCTTAATAAGGTATGACTTCAAGTCTCCAAGCACAGGCAAAGTGTACGATCCTCTCTTTGGCCTCGGATAGTGAACTCAGGTCTGTGCATCACTTTAGAGAATGGGCATGACAGTGATTAATTAGCATCACTTAATGAGAATCCGGTAAAAACACAACTTTTAAATATAAAAAAGGCAATTTTTTCTGAAATAAATACGATTGAGTTACACTTGTATATTTTATTTCTAAAGATATTTAGACTTCATTTAATTGCGTGGTGAAAGAATTGTTAAAAGAATTGTATATTTTCAACTATTAGTTGGCTAGATAGAATGTTCTGCCTTTAAAATGATAAATGTCATACGGACCAGACCTGTCCTGAGACACAGTTACAATATTCTAACTAGTCTATTGATTGGCCTATAATTTTAGGAGGTATAGGACAGAATGGCCTATAACTTTTCTGGTAAATATGCCAGGTGTCCTATAGTTGCTTATTACAATCTGAAACCCTGATTTCCATGAGTGACCCAAATACATGTCATGAGTGCCCCAAATACATTTCAAAAGCACCCCATATACACAGGTTGAGTGCACCCCACCCCAAAATGAATGTCCTATCCGGTATAACAGGAGCACCTGTAATACAATAGATTTTATAAACCAAACGTTGAAAATAAGTTATATCTTATTTTATATCATGTTCTTTTGGGTGTTTTATACATAAAGATAATATTGAAATAAATCTTGAAAAGTGAAATCCATCTCCTCCAAGAAATAGCTACAATTTTACTCATATTTTCAAATGTAAAAAATAATTTTCATCTAAACACAATCTGGATTTTAGGTATACTTTGACCTTTTCCACTTTTCAAACATAACATGAAATCAAAGAAATCACTAATCCTTAGTTCCTTACTGTTCATCTCTCTGATTGCATAAAAGATGATTTTATTTGTTTTGTTTGTGTAATATTAAACATTTTTCCAGCAATTGATTTAGTTGTATATATATTAATGAAGAAATTCTTCATGAATGAATAATGATATAGAATGCGGGTGGTTACGTTCCGACTACTTGTTCGACCCGCGTGGTTTCGACACAAATCCATGTTCGACCCGAGTGGTTTCGTTCCAAAGCAATTAATTAACAATTAATTGCTTCCGACGAAATTAATTAACACTTTCAACAGTTTTACATTTTATTTTTTCGTCTACATTTTTTTTTATATCGACCACGTATATTTGTGTTAATTATCGTATGTAATTTAATTTGGAGAAACCTACATTAATGTTTAGACAGTGCATATGTAATCACGGTACATTTGATGAAGTATTTGATTAATTTTTATGGAAAACTGTTCAAATATAATTCATTACTAAATCAAATTCATCAACATCCATGCTCCGCGATAGTAGAAAAAAATGTTAGGAAACCTTCTCACTGCACGTTGACTACACATTATACGGAAACAACTACCTATTGACACCAGGGACCTATATACTAACGTTAGTATATAGGTCCCTATTGACACGTACATCTCTGAAGCCATACAATATACAGCTACCGAATATCCATTTGTTTACCGCACAGTGTATATCCCTGTACTCAGGTATTCACATGTAGGGATATACATTAGAGTAGGTCGAAACCACTTGGGTCGTAACCACGCGGGTCGAACACGGAATCGGAACGTAACCACCCGACACCATGATATATAATGGATTTAAGGGGAAGAAGGACCTTGAGCTGAAAAAATACTTGTCATTCAATTTTTTTCATATTTTGCAAATTTCTAATTTAGTATGTCCCACATATCTTAATGCAGTTATATCATTAGGTTTCTTACCTTATTTTAGAGATATTGATTGACAAATACTATGCCCAACAGTATCTAAGTGGAGTTTCAACTCTCCATGTTTCCGAGTCCATTACTCTGTCCATAATGGGATTTTTTAAGCATAGATAAAAAATATGAAAGTGTACATGTATCTTTTAAAATATTTCAAAGTATGAATAGGGTTTTAAATTCGAAAAGGCAAGTTTCTTCTATCACACTGCATCTGGACAGGGAAAATTACATATTTTTTAAGACAACTTAAACAAAAAACTTAATTTGCATAAAAAACTATCATTCAATATTTTTAAATTTACTTTGAAATGCAAGTCCTTCATATAATTAATTAACTGTAAAAATTTCTAATGGTGAAGCTGATCTTAATATTGCACAGAACATCGTTAAAGAAGACATAAGCATGACAAAACCGTGTCATGTCTACATTTCTTGAGTACGGGAAAAACTAACTATGACGTCACACGTAAGCTATATAAGCAAAATAAGATATACCTACATAAGATTTCAGTCATCAGCCATGCAAAAATAATTTTTGTGTTCCCCGTTTATCAAAATATTTCATCATATACTGATTATATCCTGTTTTTACATAATAATAGCTCCCCTGTATTGACCGAGTGTGATCTTGCTGTACTAACAGATCGTGTATGACGTCACCGACTTGTTGGACGCACAGTTTAGGGAAACAGAGGAGTGGATCAAACAATTTCATGATTTGTTAATGTTTACAAGAATGTTAAAACTTTTCCTTTTTTATGCATAACATGTTAATTAAAGTAAACAAATTGTCAAATATTTATACAAGAACTGATGCTTTACACGTTTTGCACTTATGTAAACGGTGACTATGACGTAGTTAAAGAGAGTCATGTGACCATGTGTCCTTCATACCCTTAAGTTAAGTCATAAAAGAGATTCATCTATGAATACAAATATATTGTTTTCAGGGGTTGAAATTTTTCTGGAAAACCCACTAGCCCAGGGGCTACTGATCAGTAAAAAATTACTAGCCCAAACCTCAAACAGCTAGCCCAAATTTTTTTTTATGCAAAATGAAAACATAACAAGTTAAATTAAAGTTTCAAATGCTCTGGTGACAGAAACAAATTAAACTGCAATGTAGTTCTCATTCAAAAGAAACCAGTCTACATAGAAAAGCAAAAGTAAACTGACAAGAATTTTTTTCCGTTCTGCTAGTCCAACGAACTATCATTACATTTAAATCAACTGGTCCGAGTCTTAAAATGATTAGACCCGGGCGTCGGGCTACCATATATTTCAACCCCTGGTTTTATTATTCAAAAGCTTTGGAAAGTTGTAAATTTATTTTAAAATTTTAAACATTTTTACTTGTACTTACACTAAAATTGATTCATTGCTAACAGGTGAAGGGAAGCACCTAGGAGGGCGACATGGTTTTCGACAGCTGGACTTTGATAAAACAGCACCTTACATGAATTATGTTGGACTACAGACCCCACCCAGGACCCTCACAATGGAGGAAGCATTAAACTTTCCCCTGTTAGAGGACAGGCATGAAGAGGAAAGAGAACAAAACATGTCACAAAACCATCCACGCACATATGTGCCTAATGGGTAGGCAAAAACTAAAGAAAGCCTTAGGAGGGCATTGCTAAAAATAGCTTTATGAATTTAAATGCTTAATGAAATGATTGTAAAATTTAAATTCAAACTAAGGTGCATTGAGATAATGATTTTATTCAATGCATCAATTTTATTTTGATTCAACTTTTGTGCAAGGCCTGTTGTGACAAGAACATTAAGGATATATAACACAAACAAAATTTTGATGCATGGATTGACATATATTGTATATTTTTTGACTGATTTTGAATAGAAACGACATAAATGATAAATCTCTAAAATATAAAGAAATCGTAAGTTTTCTTTAGTGCTTAGATATGCGACTTCATGTTGTTTTCTATGTAATTCTATATAAATCTTTCACAAATTTTTAACATTGTGACAAAATCTTACAAAGCTCTCCAACTTTACTTAGCAATCATTATTCAGGTTACCTATTTGAATATAAATCTATGAGAAATATTGCTGATTTCTGAAAAAAAGTTTGTGTTGTTTATCCTGAAGGTCATACATAGAGATGTAATTTAGAAATGGAGGACACGTTTCTAGTCATCAAAAATCAAACATTAGTCATCAGAATAAAACTGAAATTTTTAAATACTTGTTTTTGAAAAGGATGATATGCCCCGTATAAGCATGATTTTATCCATTTGACAAAAATTGCTTATATTAATTTTATTTTAGGGAGCTGAGCTCAAGACAACCTCAGCCCTTTATCCCAGGAGATTCCATTAATGAGTCACTTTTAATGAATGATTTAGATGAGAATACACAATTGAGAAATGCAGTGGCAAAGCTGACTCGTCGAGTAAAGGACTTAGAGGACAATGATAGGACGAGGTCTTACATACTGTATCCTACTGTGATGGTACTGTCGTTAAAGTTTCTGTATGATGTATTTATAAAGTCCAAATGACTATATGGAAGAAGGCGTCCGTAAGTCATAGGGTGACATTCTTCAATAAACATTCACATTCAACGTGGAATTTTATGTACATTTTCTTTCATTTTTATTCTAATTTTTTTTCTGAATACATGTAAATATTAAACGTTACATTGATTTACATAGTCAATTCATCAGGAAGACCAAAAAAATGGCACAATATAATTACATGTATATTTTAGGCATAAATGGTGCAGTTTCTGTACTATATGTCATTTCCACACATTTAGTATAATGTATTTTGTAAAAGTATACATCAAAGTTTAATGTTTTTTCTTCTAACATTATGTATGCTTTGTTAATACTTTGAGATTATTTTTGCCTCATAGTCACCTGAATATTCAGGCTTTGGTCACATGGTAAATGTACTGCAGTATTCCTGTGGAACAAATACCACAAGTCTGTTTCCCATTATATAAACTACACATAGTTTTGTTCCAAGCTTTTCTTTTGTTTTGTTTTTGTGTTTTTGAAAATTGAATTTGGTTGGTGTACAATATTAGTATTTGGTGATGAGCTAGTCTAAACATACAGTGATCTACAAACACGTTTTCTATCTTTTCTTTTGAAGATATCTGAAAAGGTCTTTCAATGCCTACACAGGAGGTCTTGTTCTTTTTGTCATTTGATGGATTTTAAGCTACTTATGCTTTTTTCCAATTTGGAAAATTTATGATTCAAATTCAGTAATCAGATGAAAGGAAAAATAACTCTTGAATTGCATTTGCAGTTTATATAATTTTGTTTGTCCTGACACAGTAATAGATTTTCTGATTATGTTAATGAGTTCTTCATTGTGACATCTGATATTCATCTTCAATAAAATGTTTTCATCAGTGATAATTAGTTGGTTGTCCTTTTTTAGGACACAGAATATTAGGTGACATTGCTATCTACTTCCCTCTGTTCTTCAGCAGTAAACTAGAATATTTTCTGCTCTGAAATGGCTTAACTATGCAGTCTCAATTTATTTTCAAAGTACATAGCATGTTTGGGTGAAAGGAACAAATATTTTGAATTTCATTATTTCAATTTTTTTTCCTGAGGCTTGAAGGTTGGAGCCAGAACCTCTAAAATAGTCTTTAAAAATATTTTATACTCCAGCGCTCCTTGTATACAGACTGCAAACATGATTTCATGAGCAATTATATAAATGTGTATACATGTGTACCGGTACATTGTATTGAAATTCATTATTTCTCCCAAACTTAACTTTTTGTTTTTAGTTTTAACATATGAACATCAGTCAGTCAAATTGTATGCATCATTAATATAATCCTTGTACTTAAAATTTTGAAATTGATTACCCTAGATTCTGCAGGTGTCAGAATTTTGGTTTCTGTACTATAATGTGAAGAATGTTTGAGTTGGATGTTTATATTTGCACCATGAGTTGTTCTTTTATAAATAACAAATGGGATTGGTTTTAAGGTCAAAGGGTCAAATTATACTTCCTATAATAGAATTTTTGAGCAGTAATTAGAGAATGATATGGGCTCTGGTGTTCATATTGCTCAGATGAAGAGTTTCCATGGGGTCCATCGTCGGTAACTCATGGGTGATTAACATCGATTCTCTCTGAGGGAGCTTGTGGACTCAAAACTGTGGTTTGCGACTATGCATGGGGTCATAAGGCATGATTTTCTGTTTCTGGTTTCTGATGAGAAATACTCTATCAAGACTGGCAGCCTACTTGGATTATGCCTGTTTAAAGTAAATGCATTCAATGTCATTGTTGTCAAAAAGCATTATTGTTGTAGTCATGCACTTGATAAAAGGATATTTTGACAAGATAACAGACACTCGATGAGAAGAATAAAATTTTTGGTTAAGACATTAAGTTTGTAATTGAGAAACAAGAAAAGCTTGTGAGACATAAGGGTCTTGTGTTTGATCCCCAGGTCATCATTAAGGTCCAGGGGCCTTGTGTTTGTTTAAATAGAAAAAAAATATATTTTCATGAAAGATTAAAGATGAAGGAGGGAACGCATTGGGGGGGGGGGGGTTGCCTGCAAAGCAACTCTAACACTCCTTATCACTTTTGAAGCTAACATGGATATTGTTTTGTCATATGATAGCTCATGACAAGAGGGGGTGTCATGAACCTTGAGTCAGGTTCATTTAAAAAGGTCAAGTTTACAGTGAATTGAAATGGAAAATTTGACTTAGCTTTATTTCGGAAAAGGGAACCTCCAGAAGCTCATAACTGGTGTTTAAGAGCTTTATAATTACAGGGTGTGTCAGAAGGTCATTCTGAAAGAAAAGATTTTTGGGGATTGTCAAAATCACAGGGATTGGCAGTGTAAAAATTCAAATTTGGTCAATAACTTTTTTATGGAGAAAATTAAGAGGCTCATACTCAACACAAAGTAGCAAATTACCAGAAGCGTGTCTTAACCCTAATGAATGGTCCTTGACTGATCGAGGGAATTTGGAAGTGTGAAAGTTATGTCTGATCCATAACTTCATCGTAGAAAATCATAGATGCCCAAACTTTACATAAAGGCTGTATGAGACAAAGTGTCAGATAACCTTGACCAAAGGTCATTTGGACCATGGATTACAATGATATAAAGTTAAAAAAAAAACAAAAAAAAAAAAAACAAGCTAATTCGGAGAATTTATCCCCCGCTTAAGGAAAAAAAGAAGAGACTGGAAGAACTGGAAAAAAATATGCAAAAAAATCAACCTCGACCTTTCAGCCTTTTTATGTTTTTTTTTTTTTTTTTTTTTTTTTAGTGAAAGAAATTCATGACTAAGTTTCATTGCAAAAGCTTACTGGGAACTAAAAATATCACCTGAAACGTACGTTTGCAAAATATAAATTTTTCTGACCTTCGTCGTTAAACTTTTGAGATCAAAATCAATAGGAGTCTTTTTTAAGTAATATTGACTAAAATTTCATTGTAAAACCTCAATAAGAACTAGAGGTATCACCAGGAAACCATTTTGTGTAAGGAATTTTTTTTTTACTTTGACCTTTTGACCTAAAAATCAAAAAAGGGGTCTTCTCCAAGCCATTGGGAGTTATAATATAAATTTTCATAGAAAAAGCTAAAGAAAAACTAGTTATCTTCTGGAAACCTTTTTTGGATTGTATGAATTTCTGATCTTGACCTATATTGACCAAAAATCAAAAGCAATCTTCTTTAAGTCACTAGAAGTTATGATATATAGCTTCATTTAAAGCTCAAAGAGAACTAAAATCATCAATTAGAAACCTTTTTTTTGCAATATATAAATTTCTGATTTAAACTTTGACCTTTTGACCACAACATTAATAGGGGTCTTTTTTTTTAGGCCATAGGAAATTGTGATATGAAATATTGCAAAAATCCCAAAGGCTTTTAAAGATACCGTCCGGAAACAAAAGTGTTACACACAGACAGAATGTATGAATTTCTGACCTTGACCTTTTCAACCACTTTAAAAACAAAAGTTGTCTTTTTTTAGGTCATTAGGTTGGGAGGGGGGGGGGGTTGTGATATTTAATTTCACCGAAAAAAGTTCAAAGAAATCTAAAGTTATCATGTGCAATGTATGAATTTGGACCTTTGACCTCAAATTTAGGCCATAAGGAGTTATGATATAAAATTTCATTACGAAAACTCAAAAGCTTTTTGAGATATCGTCCGGAAACGAAAGTGTTACACACAGACACAATGACAGACGGACGGACGGACAGACTCAAATTAATATTAAATTTATTAAATTATTATTAAGGTCTTCCGCTCCAGGCGGAAGACCTTCTACTGATTCTGATGGTTAAGATTATTCTTATTAAGGTCTTCCGTCTTCACGGAAGACCTTATAGTGATTCTACTGTTTCTTATTATTAAGTCTTCCGTTCACAACGGAAGACTTATAGTGATTGTATTGTTTCTTTTTAAGTCTTCCGTTCACAACGGAAGACTTATAGTGATTGTATTGTTTCTTTTTATTAAGTCTTCCGTTCACAACGGAAGACTTATAGTGATTGTATTGTTTCTTTTTATTATTATTATTATTATTATTATTCCTCCCAAATTTTGTGAGCGCGATTACTCAGAGATGGTTGGATAGATTTTCACAATTTTTCACATGATAGTAGGCTGATATATGAAGTTTATATAAAATTCCGTTTTTTGAAAAATTCACTTCCGGTCCGAAGTTATGGCCGAATTTCCAATTTTTAAATGGACTTTTGTCCGGAATTTTTCTCAGAAACGGTTTGAGATAAAGATGTGAAATTTACAGGGGTATTAGATCATGACATTCTCTTTGTTTCGAAGTTGTTTTCGTGTGTTTCCGGTACTTCCTGTCCGAACCGGAAGTGAACTTGTGTTTGGTCAATTTTCAACTTTTTTGTTTTTTAATATTTTTTCAAGATATTATTATGTATAACAGAGGTTATTCTACAAATACTAAATATATAATTTGTTTTGAAATCAGATTCCACATTTTGTAGATTTTCGGTACCCTCATTTTCCCTATTTACCTAGTGTGTAGACAATGGGCAAAGAAAGATAACTCTGACTTGTAAGTGAGAATAGAACTTTCGAGATAAAGGCGGAAATAGTATCGATGACGTCAGAGACATATACACTCTCCATATCAAAATATTTAGACGTTCTATATTCACTCTTCAAAATTTAAGAGTTACCGCTTCCAGTGCATGTAAAGTTTGAAGTTGCCAGTGCAGTGTAAGTCTGTATTGACAGTTAATTGATTTACACATGAATATATCTAAAAAAAATTAATATATGTGCTAGGTATCTAATTCAAGTAAATATATTATAAGCACTGAATATACATTTATAGTGATGGACAGGCATGCAATTTTATCTATCTCGTATAGTAAGTTCAGAATACGATAGTTATAAGCCTACTATAATGTAGACGATTTATTATTCTCTATGATTTGAATGCGAAATTATCCCGATTTCCGAGTTTTAATTTCGATATTAAAAAATATTACATACACTCAAAAAGGAATTGAGCGATAGAAAATTGTAATACAGTACTGTTTTAAAGCCTTTATAAATAAATTGATATCTGCCACTTAAAAGAAAGAAAATCAATTTATAGATTAGATTTGGTTATTACATGTATATTTGATAAAAAGTTAAATTATTTATGACACATGATCTATACTCTATATACCCAAGAAATTATAAAAGATGTGAAAAGACGATTCTTGGATTCTTGTGAAATACTCAAAGAGTTAAAAAAATATGTGAAAACGCGATTCTGTGTGAAATAATGGTACGCTATATGTTTCTTTTGAAAAAAAAAAAACCATGATAAAAAAAATTGCACAGGTCTCTTGATATGTGAGATAAGTATACCTGAATGAACACAATTTTATGCAGTGATATATAATTATGTACATGCAACTGACTTCCGTATTTTTCCTTATAATTCATAAAACATAAAACTATCTAATTCCTTTGAAGCCTCCTCCCCCTCCCCTCCCCCCCCCCCCCCCCCGTTTTGATTAATATTTGGAGACGTTCGTGCAGCTAGGCATTTGAATTATATATTCGGTTTAGATTTAAATCTGGAACATGTGAATATAATTACCATTTACATGTATACAGAATTTCATATTCTATAATGGTAGATTTGTCATTATGAAATGTTCAATTTACGTCTGAGAGAGAGAGAGAGAGAGAGAGAGAGGAGAGAGAGAGGAGAGAGAGAGATTCCCTCTTAATCCCGATCCTCCTATCCATTTACATAGACGAAAAATTAGTTCTATATCGGTCACACCCATTCTTTATTAAATGTTTTCTGATTTCATAGTCATGGTCACATTCTGTATATTTTTCAGCTTAAAAAGTATCACACGAAGTGCACCTGTG